TATATTCCAAAGATATCTTGAGCAGTTACTTCAAGGCGTAGAAGGTTGTGGAAATTATCTCGATGACATCATCATCTCCGCACCTACATTTCAACAACACATCAGCCGCCTAGAACAAGTACTTCGTATTTTGCAACAAAATGGTATCAGGTGCAAGCAAGAAAAATGTTTCTTTCTGCGAGATAAAATCGAATATCTCGGGCGTCAAATTAGTGCAAAAGGTATATTGCCAGATGAGTCAGGACTAAAAGCAGTAAAAAACCTGCAGCCGCCTAAAGATCTAAAGCAAGCAGAAGCATTCATGGGTAAGGTAAACTATTACCATAATTTTATACCTAATTTTTCGCAATTATTCGCGCCAATCAACATGCTGCGCCGAAAAAATGTAAAATTCACATGGGGTACAGCACAACAACAAGCATTTATAGCTCTTAAAACGCATATTCTCAATGCAGCGCAATTAGCACATTATCAGGAAGATTTACCGTTGGTTCTAGCTACAGATGCCTCCTCCTATGGCATAGGAGTCGTGCTCTAGCATACGTACTTTGACGGTACAGAAAGGCCTATTGCTTTTGCATCTAAAACTCTCGACATTCATCAACGACGATATAGTCAGATAGAGAAGGAAGGGCTAGCTATCGTTTTTGGAGTCAAGCGTTTCCATCAATATTTATACGGAAGAAGATTCACCTTGGTTACTGACCACAAACCTCTTGTTAGCATTTTTAATCCAATTCATCAGTTGCCGTCGATGACGTCACATCGTTTACAGCGATGGGCTATTATACTAATGGCTTATCAGTATGATGTTCGGTATCGTAAAACTACTGAGCATGGAAATGCCGATGCTTTATCTCGTTTACCTGTTGGTGAAGATAAAACTTTTGATCATGAAGAATCTTGTTTCAACATCAATGAACTTAACACACCTATTGACGCTGAAATAATTCGTCAGCATGCCAAAAATGACCCAATTCTTCGCCGAGTTTATTTTCTCGTTACAAACGGTTGGCCTGAAAAGCTAATGCCTCAAGATGCTGATCTTCGATCATTTTTCAATCATCGCTTTGCTTTAATACTACACAACAATTTGCTTTGCCTCCAGACGGAGTACAACCGGGTTGTCATTCCAGCCTCCCTTAAGCAGAAAATTCTTAAACTTCTTCATGATGGTCATTGGGGAGTATCGAGAATGAAACAGCTAGCTCGACAACATGTCTGGTGGACTAATATTGACAAAGACATCGCACAATTAACTGAAAATTGTGATGTGTGCAAAATTGCAAATCCTGTTCACGCACGTGAATACTTAAGCTGGCCTGAAGCTGATCGACCTTGGGAGAGAGTACATATCGACTTTGCTGGTCCATTTTGTAATTCAATGTGGCTAATTTGTGTCGACGCTTTCTCGCAATTTCCGTTCGTTGTACAACTATCTACAACAACAACGGTTGACACCGTATCAGCATTGTCTTCTATATTTTCTCTGGAAGGTATACCAGAAACCATCGTAAGTGACAATGGTCCGCAATTTACAGCTGAAGCATTCAAACATTTTTGCTCAAAACTTGGCATCAAACATATAACAACAGCGCCGTTTCATCCAGCCTCAAACGGGTTAGCCGAACGATTCGTCAGATCTTTTAAAACTGCTGTTCAGAAAAACATTGACGATGGATTGTCTCTCAAATTCGCTGTATCAAAATACCTTGCAACATATCGTGCAATGCCGAATGCTGAAGGTAAATCACCTGCGGAACTTTTACATGGAAGGCCTGTTCGTACCTTGTTGAGTCAACTGTTTGAATCGCCTAGGAAGCACCTTGAAGCTTCGAAACGGAAAATGAAATTTAGTCTAAAGCAACCCGTCTTCGCTCGAAACTACGCAAGAGGGGAAAAATGGATAAAAGGAGTTATTGTAAAACAACTTGGTAAAATGGTTTACAGAGTGAACACATCTTTTGGTTACATCAAACGTCATGTTAATCAGCTTAAAACTAGAAATAGCTCTGACCTCTCTTCACAACCAATTTTTGAATTCGCTCCAAATTTCATCAATGCCACACCGCCTTCATCTAGCCAATCAACATTAATGCCTAGTGAAGAACGTTCTACCGAAGTAGTTCAACTTCGAAAAAGTGGTCGTATTCGGAAGGATGTAATTCGATTTGAATCCGACGATTTCAGGAAAACTTAAGCCTTGTCAAAAATTAAGGGCAGAGAAAGTGTTATAATCTAGTATGTTTTGCATTAGTTTAAGCAATCTTAAATAATGAAATGTAAACAAAATTTAGTTAAAGATAAACTGTCAATCTTGTCGGTTGTATTTACTTCAAAAAGCATATTAATTAAGAACCCATGTTGCAAGAAGTGCCAAACCTTACTTACAATCCATCCATCTATAATTTTTTTATTATACTAAGTATTATTATTTGATTCATTTCTTTAATTCATTCCTCAGTTTAATTCTGCCCAGTTTATAATTTTTACTGATCTAAAATATAATTTGTTTTAATTTAATACATTTTTTAGAAAAGATTACGAAACAAACAAACTCGTTTCTGGTTTACTGCAGCTGGCACCTCACACGCATCTCGTGTTGGATGAGACACATATGCAACAAGGACAGTTAAACAGTCAAGGGGTGTTGGCTATGCAAAATATCGTACATCTTGTTAAAAATCAAGAGATCCAATGTGATTTTCAATATTATAACATGAAATATTTGGCAGATGTGCCAGTTCTAGTGTTTAGCGAAGGCAAGACCATGATTCCAGTAAGTCCTAAAATATCATATCTATATAAAATAAAATAAATATATTTTATATCTATACAGATGCATTTTAGAATTCCAATTAACACCGATAACAACACCACAGAAATAATTATGGAAACTTTAAAAGCTGCACATCATTATTTGCAACCTGATCGGCTAGATCAATTTAGACGTTTCATCACGGAAGCAAAACTCTGTGAATTTTCTATGGATCCGGAAAATATGGAAATGATACAGACAGATTATGTACAAATGCGTAAAGACAAAATTATCAATAGCAGCGATGAATTACATTCCTTGCTCACATTGTCACGCTTGCTAGCAATAGCAAGAGGGAAAAAAGTGCTCGATAAGGAATCTTGGGAATTGGCAAAGGATATGGAACATAAACGGAGAGAGCGTATAAAGGAATTACCCAAATTCAAACCTAAAGTTTAAGTACAAAATGTTTTAAATATTATTATTTATTCAAATAAAAAATCTCTTAGTTTTTATAAAATTATTATTTATTGATATTTTGTTGTTAATATTTAAGTCTAAAACTATTTAAGAAACCTGAAAAAAAGAATTATATTGAAAAAATGTTTACTATATATCCTCCTTTGTACTAAATTTAGAATGTGTGTGGCATTTGTTTTTGATGTATCCAATCACGCATGCCAACTGTGTAGAAAGTAATGCATCTTCATCATCATTGTCATAGATCTAAAAATGTAAAATATGCAAAATTATTTTTTTTTCGAACTTCAAATTTAACTTTTAAAATGCAGGATTCAAAAATAAACCCTGCAAAAAAAATATCTTTTTTAAGTTTTTTAATAACTGTATCTAACGGTAGATTTTATTAATATATAAATGTACTTAAATTTTATAAAAATACAAGATGAAAATTGTAATTACAATATTTATTTAAAAAAAAATGTTTAATTCAACTCTTAAGTTTTTAAGGCAAGAATATTTTTTTTGCGTTTTAAAAATAAAACCAAAATGTACATAGCAAAATTTAAATAATAACCATAAAATCGGTTTATTTTAATTTTATTAATTTTTTGAAAACTGTGCACGTACAATTTTTTAAATCTGATTTTTCTTTATATATTGCACAAATTAATCTACAATATTATATATACGAGTATAATTATAATGTAAATAAAGCAAAATGTAAAAAAATAGTGTTAAAACATGAATAGTTCTTTTCTTTTTTTCATATAATTAACATAGTTTAATCATTTCTTACTAAGTCTGTAGTATTCTAACGAATTTTTTTTGAAACAATTCGGACCAGCCCATAGCTTAGCCCTAAGAAAAAATTTGGCAATAGAATTATTATTACAATATGAATAATGATTTAATGACTGACTCATCAATAACAGAGTGGTGATAGACGTAGAACCAGTTAAATAAAATCTAACTACTTCAACAAAAACAATTTAATTCTTCTTCATAAAATACCTAAAAAATCGATTAAAGTTATAAATCAATAAAATTATAATAATAAAATAATTCTATACCAACAACCACCATTTAAAAATTTTATTTTCTTTGAATTTCATACTTGGTTCATTTAAGGCCTTGTGCGAGTTCGTGTAAATTAATGGTAAATTGTTTTTTACCAGAATTTCGAATAGGTAATTTCGAGTAGATAAAAATTAGGTAAATTAAATCTTTATAAGATGTTTAATAAATAAAGTTGAAGACTTTTAACCAAAAATAATAAATAAGTGCAATTAATAAATAAATATTTATATAAGCCGTGCAAAAAATCCCTAAGAAATTGTAATTTATTTTACCTCAATTTACTCGAACTAGCACACGGCCTAAAAATATGATCTGATGATTTAAATATAAATAAATAAATCTACCTAAAATCTATAAAATTTGTATAAATTTTTTTATAGAATTTTCAAATATAAAAAGAAAGTAATTATACATTATATACTATATAGCCAATGTTAAAATAGACAATTACTTCATTTTTGAAATTAAACTGCATTTTATATGAAATAATTTATAAATTCATAGTTTCATTTAATTACCTATTTCAACATCCGTGGTATCCGACAATTCATTTTAAATGAACTTTTATAAAACCGTTTTAATAATTTACATATTAATCTGAAAGAAATCGATATTAGCATATTAATATTTAGCATAATATATTTTTTAAAGAAGAATTTAAAAAATCAAATCAGAATGGATGTGCTTCATTTAACAATCAAATGATGGGGAATCCGAGAAAAACTCATCATGTGAACATATAAAATAAAGCATACATTGTGACCGAAAAGTTTTCGGAGGTTCTCATTTAAAATTCGCGCGCTGTATATTTTTCGATATTTTAAGTTTATGTAGTTTGGCAGCACTGTCCTTAATTACTATGCCAAAAATGAGCGCGATCTGTTCAGACAGTTCGTTTACGGCAGCTGTTGAAACCAGTTCACCTCAGTAGTGCGTTGCGAAAAAAACAATGGAAAAAAATATTGAACAAAGAGTTTGCATCAAATTTTGTTTTTCGAACGAAATTTCGTGTGCAGAATCGTTGCGAATGCTACAAAAGGCTTATGGGGAATCAGTTTTATCGAAAACTCAAGTTTATGAGTGGTACAAAGCCTTTCAGGACTGTCGTACGACCGTCGAAGACATGCCGCGTTCTGGACGACCTTCGACCTCTACCACCGACGAAAACATTGAAAAGGCAAAGGAAATCGTGTTCAAAAATCCTCATGTGAGTGTTAGAGAGATAGCACGAGAGCTAGGCATCGGTCGTGAGATGGCTCGTTTGATTTTGGTGGACAATTTGTGTATGCGACGTGTCAACGCCCGGCTTGTTCCGATTCACCTCAATTTGTTCAACATTATCAACGATTTTAAGGCCAAACATTCAATAAATACCATCGAACAGCCACCGTATTCACCTGATCTTGCACCGTGTGACTTTTTCCTGTTTCCCAACCTCAAATTACCACTCAGAGGAACGCGTTTTGAATCCATAGAAGACGTAAAACAGAATTCGCAGAGGGAACTCAAAGCCATACCGGAAAGCGCCTATAAAAAATCGTTTTATGATTTGGAAGAAACGTTGGATTTGTGTATCGCTTCTACATGGAGCAATTTTGAAGGAGATAAAATAAATATTTGATGAAGATTAAGAATTTTGTCGTTTTAATTTAAAACGCAAAGGAAACTTTTCGGTCACAATGTATATAAAATTAATTCTTACCTTCTTGCATACTAATACTTCTAGAAGATTTAAAGTTGTCCTTATAAGTGCTGAAAAAAAAACAAAAATTTTTTTTAAATATTATATTAAAAAATAAATTAAGTAAATATATTTATAACAATTGAAATTTTATATTAATATTTAGCATTAATAATTTTTTTAAAGAAGAATTTAAAAAATCAAATCAGAATGGATGTGCTTCATTTAACAATCAAATGATGGGGAATCCGAAAAAAACTCATCATGTGAACATATAAAATAAAGCATATATGAAATTAATTCTTACCTTCTTGCATACTAATACTTCTAGAAGATTTGAAGTTGTTATAAGTGCTGAAAAAAAAACAAAAATTTTTTTTAAATTTTATATTAAAAAATAAATTAAGTAAATAAGTTTATAACAATTAAAATTTTTACAACCAATAACAAGACATACTAATGCAGGAAAATCTCAAAAATTAGTTTCTCTTTTGTGATAAATACAAAAACTTGTTATTGATTATAAAGAATTTTTTGAAAAATCAGTACTAAATAAGCTATTTCATATATGTATCATAGCGTCGGATTGAGAGTATCATCACATAAAAATGTATAAGCAAAAAATAATTATAATACATTCTAAAAATTTACACATACCGTATAAATATAGATTAGCCAGTATTTCACCAATTGAAAATTTCGTTCACTTAAATATCAATTAGAGAACTACTCATTCTCAACATTTGCAATACGATTACGATTAGTTCATTGTACATATCCGCATTATCTGTAAAATATAAATGATATATGTTAATAAACAATTTAACAATCAAATTATTAAAAATTTTTTTTTATATATTCAGCAAGTATTTAGCGTTGGAATTAGAACAAATTCTCTTCATAGTTGCATCAAAGCGAGCTGGGTAAGTTGTCATCATATATATTTTTAAAATGCATATTAAAACTTTTTCTTAAGAAAAGTACCTACCTCTTCATAAACACTGAACTGCATTTACTGGTCTTTTGTGTGAAATTCAGTTTCGCACATAAGCTCCATAGCTGTCAATCTGAAAAAAAAAAAAAATCATTTCAATATATTACATTTATAATCATAAATCAATATATTATATTATTATAATCAAATCAGATTAGATAAGCGTTGGAATTAGAACAAATTCTCTTCATAGTTGCGTCAAAGCGAGCTGGGTAAGTTGTCATCATAAATACATTTTTGAAATATATATGTTTTATATAGTCTGGCATAGATAATCATAGACTTTCAAGTACTAAGCTATTTTATGTCAACTTTCTTTTCCAAATTACTTGCATGCTAGCACTTCGGCGTCAGTGGTAGAAATTTTCTCTATTCATTCCCAATAGGTGGTTTTAGTGAATTAAAGTTACACACTGTGGCTGGCTGTCGCAATGTCAAATAAATGTCAAAATAGCTGATTTTACTAAAATCCCCGGTCGTGCCCAAAAAATCAAAGTTATGTAAAATAAACTACTGTCATTTTGAATTTGACAAAATTCTTGCTTTCTAATGAATCATTAAGGTCTGTGCTATAAAACCTGTAATCAGTAGATATGTCTAATATCGAATAGGTTTTATAGATACGTACAATATAATATTAAATATAATTATTGTAAATCACATGGAAGATCTATCAATCCTCAAAAAGCCTAACAGAAACAAGGAAGCGGGATATAATAAAAACAGAAGACATGTCTTTACAAAAATTAGAAGACACATTTTGTTAAGTACAATATTTTTATAATAAAAAAAAAATGTATTAAATTTGGAATTCTATGTAACTCTAGCTACGTTTCGAAATTATATCGAATTAGTTACTCTAACTGTGGAATATAAAAAACCAAAATGTTACTTCAATCATAATAATATTACATGTTATTATTTAATATACGCATTATAATTCGATAGACATAAATTTAATTTTTATATTTTCTAACGACATTTCGAAGATTTAAAAAATTTGTAGTTTTTAAAAAACAAAATTTATTGAAAAACTTACTAAAAAAAACCCTCACCCCCATATTTAAAATATAGTTACTTACAAAAACTATGTTTAAAAAAAATTAATAAAATTAATTGATTTTAAACAACATAAAACATTTAAAAAAAAATAAACACATAAAAAAAACTTCATATATTAATAAATTACCTCCTAAAATGTCAGCTAAATCTGGTCATTAATTTTATAATTATTGTAACTTTCCAAAAAGCATGAATCCGAAATTGATCTGAAAAAATTATAATAAATTGATATTAGTATAATAATAAATATATTTATATTTTTATAAAATGTAGAAATTGAAAAACTTTATCAGAATGGATGTGTCTCATTTAACAATCAAATGATGGGGAATCCGAAAAAAACTCATCATGTAAATAACATACTAAAGTCTTTCAAAAAATAACTATAATATCTAATAAAATAAAATAAAAAATAACTATAATATTTAATAAAATAAAAAAAAAATAACTATAATATTTAATAAAATAAAAAAAAAAAATAACTATAATATTTAATAAAATAAAAAAAAAAAATAAATATAATATTTAATAAAAAAAATAACTATAATATTTAATAAAATAAAAAAAAAACAACAATTTATGTGCTTAACAATTAAATTTATATGGTAATAACAAAATAAAATACAAATTAACTTTTGTACAATTAGAAAATATTAATGTTAAATTAACACAGTTAATTACATTTAACTATATCGAAATATAAACTAATGCAAATGTTATGTTACTATTATTATGATACTAATCCAAATTTAATTAAAAAGATATTAATAAAATTTATAAAAAAATTAAATAGAAATGTTAAAATAATATTTATTGAAAAGTACATAAATTGTATAGATTTCGTTAATTAATTTTCACATACCTTTTATAAGCTTAACTCTGCTTATGAGTACTGTATGATCTCATAAAATTTAAAATCGTTTAATATCTGAGTCGTCATTAGATCAGTTCCTTAAAATATAGACATCATAATTCATAAAGGGGTGGGAATATTCTGAACAGTTATACACAACAGCATTTTTTTTATTAATGCGTTTATAATGTAAATATATTGCCGGTATCGATGCTTTCTGTAATAAATTAATTAAATACGTTAATCATATAATAGTTAACAAAAAAATTATTAAAATTATTTAATAATATATCAGCAAGTATTTAGCGTTGGTATAGAACAAATTCTCTTCATAGTAGCATCGAAGCGAGCTGGGTAAGTTGTCATCATATATACTTAATAGCTGATTATATCAATTTCAAATTAAATCTACGTACCTCATCCATAAATATTCAATTGAGTTTGTTGGTTGTTTATATGAAATACATCCACAGATATGTTCTGGTGCATATATATAACCTGAAAAGATTAATTAATTTAGTTAAATAATAATATATTAATGTTTATAATATAATAATCATAATAGAATCAGAATATACATTGTGACCGAAAAGTTTCCGGAAATTTTAAATAAAACGCAAAATTCTTAATCTTCATCAATATT